GCAGGGTCCTGGGATTCCAAGGGAAAAGCTTATGAGGTGGCACCCTTGTGATGGTACGGGGAGAGCTGGGCTGTGGCACATTCTCTGTGACACCAGCAGAACCAGGAGAGGAGCTGACTGGGCTCCTGGTGTCCAGCAAAGATTTGTTTCACTGGTTTGGCTTCTTGGGGTGCTTTTGCAGAATGTGATTTCTCCAGGTTGAAAGTTTGAGGCTGGTGTGTTTTCGCTCTGAAGCAACAGCTTTGCTTGTTGTGGTGGGTCCTATAGAAAATGCCATGAAGCACAAAGTGCCAGGATTGGCTTATTGACTTTAATACCTGCTCTAGTCATCCCTTTTACAGCAGTGAAACAGCCCTGGCAGCTGCCCAGACCCAAACCCCACGGTTTGTCCTGTGCCTGCAGAGCCAGACCTTGCTGCAGGCTGGCTGGTGAGTTTGGAGGGGGTTTTAGGGCTGAAAGCTCTTGAAATAGCTGCATTTCAGGAGCCCACAGGGTTCCTCTCCAGAGCAGGGATTTGTGGAATGGAGGTGTGCCTGCCCTGAGCATCACTTGCTGCTCACCAGGCAGCTGAAGGGCCAGAAGAGATGCAGGGGAAGATTAACCTCTGTGGGTACTGCTGACTTCTACCTCAACTAAATAATTCCTAAATAAACTTGGAAATGACTCAGTCTTTGCTGCTGGCACCTTTGAGATGATCGTGTGTTAATTTGTAAAGATGGACCTAAATAAATTGAAATACTTGTGGGAGGGGGAGGCTGGGAAATGCCCTGAAAGCCACTCACTGCTGACAGTGCTGGTTGTCCATGCTCCCTGCACGTGTGGCATGACCATGAGGGGCAGGTGGGAAATGATGGGAAGGGGTGAAGGACAGAGCATGGGAAGGGAAAGAAAGGGGAACTGACAGAAAGCTGAACGTGAGCCAGAGTGTGCCCAGGTGGCCAAGAGGGCCAATGGATCCTGGTCTGGCTCAGGAATATTGTGGCAGCAAGAGTAGAGCAGTGATTCTTACCCTGGACTGGGTGCTGGTGAGGCCACCCCTGGAGTGCTGTGTCCAGCTCTGGGCCCTCAGCTCAGGAAGGACATGGAGGGGCTGGAGCAGGTCCAGAGAAGAGCAACGAGGCTGGGGAAGGGAGTGGAGCACAAGTGCTGTGAGGAGAGGCTGAGGGAGCTGGGGCTGTTCAGCCTGGAGAAGAAGAGGCTCAGGGGAGACCTCCTCACTCTCTGCAACTCCCTGACAGGAGGTTGGAGCCAGGTCGGGCTCTTCTCCCAGGAGCCAGCAGTAGGACAAGAGGGCTGGGTCTTCAGCTGTGCCAGGGGAGGTTTAGGTTGGATATTAGGAAAAAATTTTTTACAGAGTGATTACGCATTGGAATGGGCTGCCCAGGGAGGGGGTGGATTCACCATCCCTGGAGGTTTTTAAGGACAGACTGGATGTGGCATCAGTGCCATGGTCTGGGAACCACGGCGGGGTTGGATCAAGGGGTGGACTGGATGATCTCAGAGGTCTTTTCCAACCTGGTCGATTCTGTTATTCTGTGAATTAAACCGAAGGAAAACTAAAGGGTAAAGAAAGAAAATGCTTTTGGATTGTGCTCATCTGAGTGGGACTACTAAAACATCAACAAAGGGGGGGAAAGAATACATGGGGAGGGAGGAAACCCACGGGGATCCTGGTGGTTGTCGGGATGCAGAGCAGGTCCAGAAGGGGCTCGAGGACACCGTCCAGGACGGCGGGGACCGAGCGGGAGGGCAGCAGGAGCTGCTGGGGCGATGCAGCGTCGGCCACGTACGCCGGGGCTGGCCCGGGCTGAGCGATGCTCCAGATGAGACGACAACAGATTTACAACCATCAAATCCCGATTCCAGGCGGAAGAGGTGCGTGCCAAAACAATGGAATAGCTGGAGCCTGCGGGGGGGGCACGGGGGGCCCTGCTCGCACCCCACCCCCAGGGCTGTTTACACAACCCTCCCCAAAAGCCCCCGAACGCTCCTCGCGTTTCCAGTGCGGGACGGAGCGGAGCTGCAAGTGATTGGGAGAGGCTCGTTTAGTGCAGCTCTTGTGCCAAAAAAGAAAAAACAGCTAAATCAGGCATGCCCCGGAGCCCCGGCCGGGATAAAGCACGGGGTCCGAGAGCAAAACCCAAGGGACTGCTGTTCCCGCACCAGGACTGGGCTCGGGCTACCCCCACCCCGTGGGTGCTGATTGCGGGGGCCGGGGGTCCCTAGCACGGGGAGCTGGCTCTCTCCCCTCCGTCCCAGCCAGACACACCTCCCTGCTCTCTCTGCCCCCTCTCCCCCTCCCCTATGCCGTGTTTCCCTTAGATCTTAAGCACATCTTTATTTTCCCTCCCTTGCTTTGCCCTGCTGCCAGTACGAAGCGGTTTCTCTATTGCGTTTAAAAAAGCCCCTGCAACTCCACCCGAAGGAAAGCCGGCGCATCCCGAGCCCACCCCAGCGCTGCCCCAGCTCCACCCTGTGTTCTCCTTCCCCCTCTGGTGACGCTTCATGGACTCTGGATACCCCCCTCCCGGGGCAGAGAGTCCCCTGACACCCCGGCTCGGTGCCCTCCCAGCTCTGCCGAGGCTGAGTGCGGCTGAACAGACCCGGGAAGGGATCTTTTCCAAATTATTGCTTTAAATAACGATAGCAAGCAACGACTCTAGGAAAGATGTGCATTTAGACGCAGAGATGATTAAAAAAACTAAACTGCTGCCACTCCTCACTGCATCCTTCAAGTCCTTCAAAGGTGCTTGCAAACGGTTTTTTGTCTTTTTTTTTTTTTCTGATGGATTTTAATATTTAAGTCCTGTAAAAAGAAAACAGATGGAGAAGAAGACAACAAACGAAACCAAGCCCAGCCCAGAGCTCGCAGGGAGAGGAGCAGAGTAGCTGGGCACGGCACCCGCCCCCCGCTGCCTCCTACTGCCCAGGGACCCCTTGCAAGGATCAACCTCACCCTGCAGCTCGGGTACACACTGCACACCTGTAGATAGAGATACTTGGGTGTGTATATATATGTATAAACTTTAAAAAATCAATATATAGGTAGATAGATGCCATTCACATATATAGGTCTAAAAATATACTTCATTAAAAGCTATTAAACTAACACAAAATATTGACATGTGGCTCATATTTAATATAGAAAACATACTTGTCATTATATATATTTAATATATAAAACATGCATGCATCTTGTAGCACAAATATCAGCAATTGTATATAATTAACTTGGTTTAATCCATGACATTTCAATTTGAATGTATGAACAGATAACATCCCTTTTTTGTTGTTGTTTTGGTTTGATTGGTTTTTTTCTTGTTTGCAGCCTTTTCATGGAAAAATCTGACAATTTTGCTCTGATGCAAGGTACTTTTTTCCCTCTTTTTCAATGGATTAGGGACAGATCCAGCAGCCTGGCAGAGCAGGAAGAGGTGAATGATGCTCCATCAGTCCTGTGCTCTGCCAGGTTGAGAGGGGATTCCTATGGGCCCATGCACAAACTCACCCTTGGAGACATATATATATATATATATGTATGTATGTATGTGTGTATATGTGTATGAATATATATGTATGTCTGTATTTATTTATGTGAAATCTGTGGAACGTGTATGTTTGTATTTATTTATATGGAATTTGTGGAGATGGACTGTGATGAGCTGATGCTCCTGGGGGTGCTGGGAGCAGCAGGGCAGGGTGTCCCCTTCACTGCCTCTCTGGGTGTCCCCATGGATGCACAACCCACTTCTATCATGCACCTCAGCACCCTCCCAATTGCCCTCCAAATTTCCAGCTGTTCTAAGAAGATAATTTTGATATCACACTGGTGCTGGGGGTTTTTGTGCTGCCTGTGAGTGAAGCTTCATGCAGCTCCAAGCGTTCGCCTGGTGCTTTCCCCTCTCAGGAATGGGATGCAGCATTCCCTCTCCTCCAGCTCTGTCCCTGCATGCACAACACCAAGTCCTCCAGAGGAACTCATTGCTGTAGTCTTATTCCCTTTGAATCTGTATTTACTATCTCTTATCTCCTGTTGGGTTTTTTTTAAACACTATTTGCAGTAAATATCCCCAACATGAAAACGGGTTGAGGTGCACGTTAAAAAAAGAGCCTGAGTTATATAAAACTAATGCCTGTGTAAGCTTTTATCTAATGGCAATTAAAGTACCTCACATAAACAAATCATTAACGTAAAACCCTTGATAAAAGCTGTGTTTTCAGCATCACACAGCCACTGTAACCTTGCTCATGGATGATCATCCTTGGTCTTTCCCAATGCTCCCATAACTGCTCTTATTGACAAAAAATGATTAGTTCTTCTCTGCCCAGTGCTCCTACCTGGGAAGCTTCAGAGTGCCCCTCAACCACTGCCAAAGGGAAGAAATAGTAGTAATAATAATGCTTAATAAAAGCCCTGGTGCTGTGGCCGTGTGAAAGCCCCTGCGGAGCAAAGATGCTGCAACCCCCGAAGGGGCCAGACCCAAAGTTGTACCCAGTGGAAGAGAGGGAAACCTGTTTGGATGGCTGAGGGCTCACCCTGAGAACTGATCCTCTCTGGGTGATGCTCTCAGGGCTTTCTTTCCTTATTATTTTTAGCTTTTGATGCATTGGGTGGGACAAGGACGATCCACCCGCCAATGCCACCTCCAGCTCTCACCCTCCAGCGTTGCATGGGAACATCATCTCCCCTGTTAGGCACCAGGACCTTGGCACAGTCTTTCCTCAAGATGTAACAAGTGCTCAATAAAAGTAATTCCCAAGTTAAACCATTGCCTTTCCAGTGCCTCTGAAGAGTTGGCAGCATCTGAGAAAGCTGATGGGGGACCAGTGCACAAGGCTCGCCATGGGGAGAGGAGACCGGGCAAAATATGAGCATGGACACCTTTTCTTTTTAAAACTGGTTTATTCTACACAATTTTTTAAAACAACATTCCTAAAACATTAATTACAAAAATGTGCTAATATGGGGTAGGTTTTTTCTGTTTATTGTTTTTTCTTCCAACAATCAGAAACTCACATTTGAAAGGACAGTCATACTTTTAAGACACACATTCAAATACTTTAATTCCAGATACAAAATTTTTGGGGGATACAAATCACTTGCAAGAAGCAGATGTAAAAAACCAAAAGAAAAGAGGAATAATTTTAGGCTTCAGAATCTGATTTCAGCATTGAATTGAGTGATTGTTTTTGGACCACTGGCTCTGCTGGTCTGCCCAGCGTGCCCAGCAGGCCTGGGCACTTCCCAGGACCAGTTCTGGAGCCACACATGACTCCTGCTGAGCCAGAATCAGGAACACACTGGGGAAAAAAATGGGATTGCGAAGCTACTGGCAGTGCTTGCAGCCTTTTATTTAGTCTTTCTAGTGGGTACAGACACTGTGAGGGTGAGCGTTACCAGCACATCACAGGCAAAACAATGCATCCCACCCCAAAAACCCATGGACAGGCTGTTTTCCATCAATGGTGGAGTAAATGCCAGCTGTGACAGGGCTGGAGAGAGGCATGGCATCGGAATCTGCTGACCAGGGCTGATGGCAGCAAGCTTGGAGGTCCTGCTTTAAAAACAATTACTCAAAACGGCCAAAATTCAAGCCTCCGCCCCGGTGCTCTTATGTGGAGCCAGCTCCAAAATCCACCCATCTGAAAGCAAATATTTGGCTTCATCCTGCTGGATTTCAGGGCAGGGGAGGGAGAGAGGGGTAATTTCCTAATTGACCTCAGCCTCCCCAGAAAAATCCTGCCTCTGGCTTTAACGGGTTCAAATAGATGAAACAGGATATGCTGGGAAAGTTCAGGCCTCGAGAAGTCGTTTTCTTTCCCGAAATGATTGGAGTGAATGTGCTCGGCAGCCAAACCCCAACTGCATTCAGGCAATTTGGCCGTCACCCACCACAAGAGGAGCATCAACTCCACGGAAAAGCCTGCTCCCGTAAACAACTCGTCAGCCACACCATGATTAAAAACGTACAAAAAGGAAAAAAAAAGTTTAATTCCTTAGTAAAATAGACACTAAGCCTTGTCTCTAGCACTACGGGTAAGGGCTACACTCGCCGTGCCGGGCGGAGGTGGATGTAGGGGGAGTGATGGGAGTATGGTACAAAAAGAGGAGAAACTTTGAAGGTACAGAGCCTGCTTCAAAGCCGTGTTTTGCAGGAAACAGGTGGAATTTTGTGTTTTCCTCTCCCGCCTTGCCTGCACTGGGAATGTGAATCCCAGCCCCATACCTGTAGTTGGAGTGTTGCCACCACAGTGTGTGGGAAGAGGGGACGTGGGGACACCCTCAGTGTCTGTCCTTGAGAGGAGCACTAAGGGCACTGCAACGTTTGAAAGAATAAACCAACAAAGCCCCCCCGGAAGGGGCTGTGTGGGGTGAACCCACCAAAGCCCAGCGATAACCTCACTGTCACCAGGGCCAAAGTCCACGGCATGGCCGAGCCAAGCTGATAAAGAGCCTGCAGCGATGCTCACCCCACAGCACGGGGAGGGTCACCCCTGCAGACAACCCAGGGCTCCTAAGCCTACTCAGAGCTCCATCCACCCCTGTGTCTGCTTTCCTTCCAAGGGCTCTCAAAAGATAGGGAAACAGCTTTATTTTGGATCTTTACTGGCCTGTGGGTCCCCTCTCTGGTGCCAGCTCCATCCCTGCCCGGAATTACAGAGGACTTCAGAGGAGTATTTAAGGAGCAATTTTCAATCACATTATTCTCCCCAGAGATTACAAGGGTGGCTTGTAAGCACCCAAAAGAGCTGTTTGAGCTCAGGTTTGGTGGCATAAAGGCACAGGGAGGGGCTGCTCCACTCTCCTTGGCAAAGGAGCCGGGGCTTTCAAAGTCATCCTGATTTTCTGCTTCCAGCTGGATAAGGAGATGCAAACTCTGCCAGTGTGAAAATGATTGAAGCTAAAATAACCAAGGTAACCCCCAAACAAAACTGTGGAGTACCAAAGCACATGAAAGCTGGGAATGGTTGGCAGTGAAGGATGGAGGGATGGCAAATGTCTCAGCTGGATCTGTCCCCCTGAGTCCAGAGGATTTGGTCCAAGTTCACCTTTATCCAGGTTTTCACTCTGAGCACCACATGGCCACAAAAAGGTGCAGATGCCAGCCAGGGTTGAAATCCACCCTCAACCTCCCAAGAAACTGAACTGGAGTGATCTGAGCAAGAGTAGGTGAGATCCTCAGCACCAAATCAGGCTGCCCAGAGCAAGTCGCTCTTGGCACCCAAGTACCAAAGAGATCCTCTGTTGCCATGGAGAACATTCCCGTGGCTCTGCCACACAGGAGAGGGTGGGAATGTCCTTGCGTAGCTGCAGACCATCTTTCTCCTGGCTCCTCCAGGCAGCTCAGCCCAGAGGATGATGAAGTTCCTCAACTGGTAGCCCCAAACCACCACATTGTTTGGAGGCAGAGCCAAAACCTCTTGAAACTGGGGGTCCCCAAACCCCGTGGTACTGCAGCAGACCTGCAGAAGCCCTCAGGCTTGGATGGCAATTAGGATGTGGCCTTCCCACAGCTCCCACAGAAATGCTAGAAAACCTCAACCCCAGCCAGTGAGTGGCCAGAATCTGTTAAAATTAAGATCTGGGACTTAGGCATGTGTGTGTCCTTGGCCAGAGGACCTCAGCACAGGGCACACTGCAATGAAGCAGCTCCTGCAGATGGTTTAAGCCATGAATCATGGCACTTCCCAGGCAGCTCCTGCAGCATTGCTACCCTTCCCATCACAAACACCACCATGCCCAGAGCCCTCCCAGCTCGGCTGTCCTGCTCCATGCCTTGGCAGGAGCAAGAGGAGTTAAATTCAATGCCTCACTCTGGAACAGTAGGAAGATTAAAAAAAAAAAAAAAAAGGCAGAAAAGACGACAAGTTGATTTTGAACACCCTCAAGGTAAAGATTTAAGAGGCAGCCCCAGCCCAGCCCCGAGCGGGCGCTGCTGGGACACGTCCTGTGCTCACTGTACACTTACATAAGGCTCTGCAGCTCTGCAAACACCCCAGGCATGGGGTGAAGTGGGGCCTTCCCTGCTCCCTTCCACCCTTTTCCCACCTCGGGGGCTCAACCTGCTCCCCTGCCCTTGCTGGTTCCCAAAACTGGCTTAGCCTGGAGTGCCAGGCTCCCCCTTCCCCTCCTGGAGCAAGGGAGAGGGGCAGGAATCACAGCCTGCCACTAACAGGAGAGGGAGCAGGTTGGGTTTTTTTAATTAGAAAACTGAGTAAAAGGCAGTTTTGGCTGTGAAGGCAGCTGCTTGCTCAGCCCTCACCTGCCCAAAGAGGATGTGGATGTGCTGAGCCACGATGAGTGGATCCTAATGGAACAGAATGGGTTTTGGGATGAAGCTTTTTGCAGCAGGTAGGGATCCATTTGGTGTGACATCATTGGACCACCACAGGCTAAAAGGAGGTTTCAGAGACCAGAGCAATTCCTCCCTGTTCATAGATGCTCAAATCACCACAATCCCACCTCTCACATGCCACCAGCTGCACAAATCCCTGTAAGCTGCCTGATACCGTAACGAACCAAACTAGACCCACAGTAGTAGTTTGCTGACAAACCGACCCCAAATACTCCCTTTATGTCGTCAGACTGCTCCAACCTTTGCCCTTCCCATTCCCATCTGTGTTTGCTGTCGAGGTGACCCTTTCATTGCTGTTGTTCAAATCTACCTTCTCTGCTGCAAAATTTGCCCGTCTTCAGCACGGGCAGGATTTTGGCCAGCTAAAGATGATGAATGTGGTTTTAGGAGGCTGGTACCAGACATCAGTCTGCAATAGTATGAGGGCTGGCTTCCTGTGATCAAAATGGGGTTTGCCATGGGCAAAGACCAAAATTTAGTGGGAATGAACGTGGCTGGCTCCTGGTTGACATGGAGCTGCTCTGATGTCACTGCAGTGCTAAGCACTGGTTGCACTAGATGCAGGTTCCCCTGGGGAAAGACCTTTGTAGGCATTTGGAGCAGTTAAGACAAGTGAATTCTGCAGAAATTTGGGATTTGAACCATAAATGACTTTGTGAGCCAGGGAGGTTTTACCGCAACAAAGTCTGGGCGCCGCCATCGGTGGCTCTGCCGTGCAGCCGCTCACTCAGCCCAGACAAGGCTTGGAGGCAGGTCTGCTCATCCTCTGCTTGGCCTGAAGAAGCTCCTTGTTGAATTTAAATGCCTCATAAGCTCTCCTTCGGGGGGCATTAAGGTAAAAAAATATGATTTAAGGAACTTCATCTAACTCCCATGTTAATAAATGCCCAAAACCACGCAGAAGGAGTTATGATGAGGTGTTATTTCTTTCCTTCAGCTGTCAGAGGGCTTTGAAGATACTTCATCACTTTAACACCCTATTCTAGGCTAAGCCTGGCAGATCCCACCGCAGTGCAGCACAGACACTGTGGTGCCTGCCCTGCCTGCCCACATGGCTCCAGCTGCCTCCTGTGGGTCCCAAAACTGAGTGATGGGTCAGCAGAACCACAGCAGACAATGCCATGAAGGGTAAGAACAGTCATGGAAAAGCATATTGAAGAAAGAGACAAGTAGACATCTCATTTTATAGTCATAAACAGACACATCACAACACATCAGGTAATTTTCCAGCTCGTACGGGGACAGAAGGGCCACAGGACCAAAAAACCTTACGATGCATTAACCAACATCAGTTAAAAACAGGGCCAGAGGGGCATGCAAGGGCCTGAGCCTATGTACAAATGTCCCACCACTGCCCATGGGAGGGGCCTTCCACTGAACCCAAATATCCAGAGCAGAGATTTGTCTTGGTGTTACAGACCCCCACACTCGCCTGGAGACCAAGGGGTGATTCCCATGGCCCACGTCCCCCTTCAGGCATCTCAGCTTTTTAATGGCAGTTGAACAAAATGAAAACACAATGAAGGATGGGTTTGCAGCCAGGATAAAAGTGAATTTTGTTTCTTGCTCTCTCCCAGGAAAAAGTACCCCAGTCACTGTTGGCTCCTCATTTACACAGGGACCCACTGGGGCAGGAGAACTTCCCTCCTCGCTCATTAACCACACTCATTAGCAATGCCTTGAGATGATCACACAATTGTGGAATGGTTTGGGTTGGAAGGGACCTTAAAGCCATTCCACTCCCTGCCATGTGCAGGGACACCTTCCACTATCCCAGGTTGCTCCAAGCCACCTCTAGCCAGGCCTTGAACAATTCCAGGGATGGGGCAGCCACAGCTCTCTGGGCAATTGGAATTTCTAAAATTTTCTCTGGGCAATGATGAATTTCTTCACAAGGCTGAACTCTGCTGCCTCTCTGTGTGGTGGGTACCCACTGGTTGTGCAATTTCCTTGTACTCTCTCCCTCTCCCCCCAGGGACAGCACTGACCTTGCACCAGCTCCCCACGACAACACACAGGTAACGAGTGAAATGCTACAGGGGCTTTCCAACCCTTTGGAACACCGGGCTTCCCTTGCCCACACTGACTCCTGGTTATTGCTGCATAATACACAACTGGCCCCTAAAAAAGAGCAGTGGCACCCTGTGCCCTGAGCCAGCAGCATCCCCACACCCATGGGTGCCCCTGTGCCCAGCACGGAAGCCACGTCCCAGCACAGAGCTGATCCAGGACTCACAGGGCTCTGTCCCATCCCTGTGTGCCTTGATGCCTCCGAAGTGCCTGTCCTGGTGGTGATCCCAAGGATTTGGCCCTGTGGATCCAGCCACTGTGGGCTGTGCCAGGAGCTGCCCCTCTCTTTTGCACCTCAAAAGCCCAATCATTAGTCACTGGGTGAGAAAACAGAGGTGGAAAGTGGCCAAGGGACCTGCCGGTCTTGTCCATGCATTTTTAAGGCATATTTTGCAGGAAGGGTGTGCTCCCACGTGGCTCCATTTGGTGGAGCCGGCCGAGCTCCCAATCGTCCCGGCTGCAGCTCTCTGGGTGTGCAGGAGAGCAGCGGGAAAGGGGGAGAGAAGAAGATGGAAGCAGGACTTGCTGACATTTATTTGGTTTGTGCATCAGACTAAAGCAGCGCTTCCTCCTTCGGATCTCTGGCTCCAAACAGGCTCTGGTGCTGGATGGGGAGGGGATTGTCTGCCTTGGATGTGACACCCCAGTAACACCAGAGGAGGAGGAGGAGGATGGACAACTGCCAGGTCCAACAAGGTCCATCCGTGACCTGCTTGAAAAAGGCATTTATTAGCTGTAAACCTCTGTTGTGATGGATAGAAAACTGGAGAGAGGAGCGGGAGATCGATCAAGTTTGAATCCTGGTGAGAGTTCTCCTTAGAAAACGGTTAGAGGAAAAAAAAAAGGTGGCTTTGAAATCAAAACTGTCTCGAGAAAGAGCATTTCTGCTAGTTAAGAGCCTTTAACTAGAAGAACTTTTTGTGTTTTCTCCTTTACAAACATGGCGCATCTGCAATCACTGGGAATGATGGTCTGTCTGCAAAAAGGGCCTGTGCTGGGGCTATGGAGAGGCTGCTGGTGGCCGCGGGGTGTGCGGGGAGCGGGGTCACATGTGCGCTTCAGAGGCCGGGCAGCCCGGCAGCAGCTCCCCGTTCACCACGGCCTCCGACACCAGCATCTTGTCTTTGCCAGAATCCAGGCGCTGCTTCTTCAGCATCCTCTGATGGACCAGTGGGACCACGGAGAGCACCAAGGCGCCGATGATGGGGGGGACTCCGGCGAAGTAAAAGGCCGCATCGTAATTCCCAAAATAATCATTGAGGTATCCTGCAAGAGAAGAGCAACAGAGGTTAGAGCCACATCAGGCTATGCCCTCATTAGTCTAATGACCGGCTTCTTTTCTCCTTCCCGTGAGAGCTGCAGCTTGTGTCAACCACCAGATTTGGGGAGATTTGGGTTTTTAAAATAATTTTTTTTTTTCCACTGCATTTCTTGAAGTTTTTATGCCTTGGATTGAAGGATGTGTGCAGCCAACATTGTGTACCAAGAAGTCAAGAAGAAAACCCTCAGCCATCCTTCCTGTTTAACCAGAACAGGACACAATTGGACAGATCCCAGACAATCCCAAATACAAGCTGAGACACGTTAAACCAAACACTTCAGGTGGCTCTTCCCAGAGGCTTGCCAGCCAGGAGACAATGGGAAAAGTGTGCAGGGGCTGCTCCTCTGCAGACTGTCTCCATCTGGAAGCCCTGCTTTGCTTACAGGTATTTTATCTACGTTGCCAGTTACAAACAACAGCCGAGCCCTTAATACCCAACGAGGTTCTGCATTTGTTCATTTGGCAAGTTCTAACACAACCAGGCATCCTTGGAGAATAACGCGTGGCCATTGATCAGCACTGGAAAATCTCTCTGAGTTTCTCCTGCATAGACACTTTCCTGGGGATTCAGTCAATGAAATGAGCCCCTTCACCCAGAGAGTCCAGTGCAGGGGGTCCTGCAGCAGCACCCTCACAGTGAGGGTCTTCAGCCCCCAAGTTCCTTCATGAGGGTGTTAAACTGAACTTTGCTGCCAGAAGCAGAGAGATCAGAGGATTTTATCCAGCTTTAGCTTGCTGCTTGCTGATGCAGACGTTCTGCTGTTCAGGGCCAGCTCTGGCAAAGCCCTTGCTGTTAAGGGTGTTGGGATTATTGCTGTGCTTAAACACAGATCTAAGTCTTGTGAAGCTCAGGTGTCTCCATCTCTAACTTTGAATCAATCCTAGAAAACTAATATCTGCCAATTTTTAGCTCATCTTCAAGCAGAAATCAAGTTAATGTGACCTTGGTTCACTGTTCCCCAAATGGTCACCTTTGGAGAAAGGCCCCGAGATACTACAGGATGTAGCATGGAGTGATGCCACACCCACACTTCAACCCCCCAGTGACACGATAAGCCAGAAAATTCCAAATCATGAGTCCAGTCTCACACCAAAATCCCAGCATGGGTGAAAGCTGCTCCCAGCATGTCCCTCCCAAAGCCGGTCCCAGTCCAGCACCGCGGCGCTACCAACCTGCTATGGGTGTACCCGCGGTCATGGGCACAGCCATCAGCCCCATGAGGTACCCTATGGCCTGGGACGCCTGCATGGGCCCCACCAGCTCGAAGGCGATGGGGGCCATGATGGTGGTGAAGAAGCCATCGCAGAGGCCGAGGAAGAGGCAGATGACAATGACGCCCTCAAAGCCTTGGCACTGGGGGATCATCATGCACAGGATGCCCAACAGCATGAAGGATGCAACCTGAGGAGGCAAAAGTGGGCATGAGGAGTGGGCGTGAGGAGTGGGCGTGTGCAGCAGGAAGAGTCATGAAGGTGACACCAAACAGGTCAATGTCATTGGTCTCTCCTTTGGACACAGCAATGCCATCCGTCCGCTGCGCCCGTCTCAGAGGGGCCCTTAAGAACAACCTTGTAAGAAGGATTAAGAAGGATTATCTGCTGGATTAGCTGCTAGATTTCAGCAGTTTGTTCTTCAAAAACCACAAGAAGGTGAAAGGGTGTCAGTAGTTTGGGAAGAGTTGGTACCATGGAGTTTCATTGCTGAATGGACACTGGACAAGTGTGTAACTTCCCTTACACATTTCTATAGTACATTTTCTTCCCTAACAGCAGATAAGGCTGTTAGAAAATAGTCAGTAAAGGGTTTGCACTCTGATTGACCAGATTAAGCAGACCAATGCAGAGATGCCATTCCCTGACCCACTGTTGTCGGCCAGCAGCTACTAGACAGTGGGACACAACATACCTGCAGGTAAATCTTCTTCAGCCCAGGGATGCAGTCACCAATACGGCCTGAAACCAAGCGCCCCAGCCCCGACATGCCTCCAAGGCAGACCAGGAGGATCCAGTCCTTTTTGGTCTCTTTATATCGCTTCTCCACATATTTTACCTACAATGGAGGGATGGACACAAGGACATGATGCCTCTGTAAAGTTGACCCCTGTCACCTCCCCAAAAGAGATGAGATTTCCTGCAGCTGGCTCATGTTTTTGGGGGTGATTGTGTGACCCTCATGTCTTCACCACACTGACCTGCACGCACCACCTCCACCCACCCCAAACCCAACAGGTCATTCCTCTCCTGCTACTGATGCTTGTCCTCAGGAGCCGTGGGAAGCGGCTGCTCTGCCCACCCTGGCTCAGAGGACATATAGAGGCATCAAAAGGCCATATCCTCTCACCACTACTCCTGTTTGCAGGATGTGCAGCAGTTTCTTGGCTTCGAGGTGTTTGGCCCCTCTGCCCCTGTTGCCCATCCCCATCCTCCCACCCCCTCCTCGCTTGCAGGAGCCAGGGATCTCTCTCCCCTTCCAGTCCCAGCCAAGGCTCTTACCAGGTGCATGTAAGGTACGAGGTATCCCAGGACAGCAGTAGCGATCCCGAAGGCCCAAATCCGATAGGTCTTTCTCCGGAAAACCCTCAAGTTGAAATACCTGCGCGTCTGGGCCCAGCACTGCTGCCGCGCGCTCCGGCTGCCCAGCTTGTCCTGCCCGTCGTGCTGAGAGTCACAGGAGGGTGGCAGGGTGGGCCGGTAGGTCATGGACAAGAAGATCTGGATGAGCATTAAGGCACTGAGTACTTGGAAAGTATGTGCCAGCCCAATGGCCTTCCCGACCATCTTCAGGAAGAAGGGGAGCGGCACGGAGATGAGGCAGCTGCCGCCGGCCACGATGCCATTGGCCAAGCCAAGGCGGCGCTTGAAGTAGTGACCAAGGATGACCAGTGAGGGCTGGAAGGCAAAGGAGCTGCCACAGCCGAAGAGGATCCCATACGTGAAATAACGAACTTCCAGAGACCTAGCGGGAAAAAAAACCACATGGAGCTGGTGACGTCAGGCAGAGGTGGGGAAGGTCAGGAAGCCTCCTGCCCTGTGGTCCTGCAAAACCGCGTGTCAAGACCCAGGTCTCCCATGCCACAGGTGCTACACAGACCGTCTGACCCCAAGGAGATTATTCCCAAGCCAAAGCAAGGATTATCCTCACTTCACAGCCGGCACATTAAATCTTTGGGAAAATGCAGTTTAGCTGGGGAGAGCTTTCTGCAGCCAGGAGAAGCAGCAACCAACCTGCCCTCCTTGGGAAGCTGACGTAACTTCAATGGTTTTTAAATTACAGCAAATAAGATTTTCTTAGGTAGGAAGGGTGGCCTATTTTTAGCTAGAAATCCTTTTTATTTTTCCACTGAAAGGACTAATTCAAAACATTCTGCACCCAGTGTAGTTTGAAAGCACCAACCCTGCTGGTTATTAGGCACGTATGAAGGAAACATGGTGTTTCTGCCCAAGCTCCAGGTTGGTTAATTAAGCTCTTCGTCTTTAAGCTCCTCTGGGAGCTTAAATTAGACAGTTAATAGATCTCATTTGTACCTTACATTGGTGGCTGCACTCAAGGAGGGAGTGAAGTGGTTGCTCTATAGAGCAGATGGAGAGTCCTGAGAGGACTTGGAAGGAGCTGCTTCCCAATTGTCAGCCCAATTTTCCCAATAGAAGCAACTGAGAAAGGAGCCTGGTGTTAGGCCATGCAAACAACCTGTTATGTTTGTCTCCAGATGAAGAATGTTTTCACTTCATCACGGGGCAATACATCCAACTGCATGAGACATCACCTGGGAGGAGAGCACGACAGAGACCTTCGGGCAGCTCATGATGCCCAACCCTCCTGTGCAATACTGAGTGACGCTCATGAAGCAAGCGAGGAGACAGCAGCCCACATCTAACAGAGCAGCTGGAAGTTGGGAAAACCTTTACAAGCACATCATTCCTTCCATTACACGCTCGTCTCTTCAGCTTGCCAAGCAGAAAGCAGAACATGCTTGCTGTGCCCAACGGCTCCAAGACAAATGACTGTCAGGAAAGGCACTTTCCAGCTACTCCAGGATGAAACCACATCAGAAGCCCCCTCTGTGGGAGCCAGGGAAGCAGCTGGGCCACGCAGGCTGTCTCCGACCTCCCACACACCAGCGCTGGCCATCTCGGCTGGGTCACACCAGCTTTGGTGCCGCGGCTGCGCTGACGTGTCGGATAAGTGGAGACAAATGCCCTAGTTCCCATCTGCTCCCTGTTGATGCTAAGACACCCTTGCAGGGGCAGGGGCTCCATCCAGCCATGCTTCTTAGCCAGGATTTCCCAGCCTGCTTACTGGGAATCAGCCAGCTGCTCTCCAGTGGAAGGGCGGCATCGTCTCCCTTGGACAACAAGGTCACCCGTAAATAATGACATCTCCTGGGACAAAGAGGTCTCCCTCCCAGCTGCCTCTCACTTCCAGCTCTCAGTAGGAACAGCCCTGGTTCATCCCTGCTGGCAGAAGTTTGGGGGACTCCTCTCTGCAGGATAAACTGGACAGAAATTGTGGAGGGGAGGGAGAGGCAGATGAAGAGGAACTCAACCGCCCATACAGAACACTTAGCTGTGCAGAGGAGGAGGGCTGGGAGGGCAGCCCTGCTGAACCGGCCATCATCTAAACACGCTGAAACACCCCCCTTCACACTGGAGGAAGGGTGAAGCCTTAACTGGGATTTCTCTTTTCTTGAGGGCACACAACATCTGTGGTGGCTTGAGCTGATTACAACTGCAGGAGTCACCCCTGTGCAAGGCAGCAGAGAGGAAAAGCCTCACCTCGACCCCATCCAGCCTTCCCCAGAGCTCAGCATTGCAGCATATTTGGTTTCTTTCATGGATTTTGTACCAAACTCCCAACATTTTGAGAGCAGGAGGCCCTGAGCTGGGCACTGGAGTCCTCTTGCACAGGCTTGGTGCCTCAGAGGGTTTTTGGAGAAGCTTGGTGTAGTGCTGGGAACCGCTACTCCTCTGTTTGGACAAAACAAACCCATTTCAGAGGAACCAGGAGGTAAAGGGGGGATGAGCCTTGATGCAGACGTGCCTCAGCCCACCAACCCAGGCTGTGTCACTTTGCACCGGTGCCTGCACTGGGGAGGTCATCTCAAGGTGTGTGGAGGGGGGAGGTGGCAAGCGGGACCAGAAAAAAGCTTCTCCATAGTTCTGGGTGAGCAGGAGCCACAGGCTCTGAATTTCAGGAGCAGCCTCCAGCATGAGGGCGGGGCGGTGCCAAGTCCCGCAGCCTCGCTGCTCTTCTCCCGGCCCCGCTCGGCCGCGCCGGCACAGCTTCCCTGCTCCGGTCCAGCTGCAGAGGGGCTCCTTTCTCCCTTAAAAGGGAGCCAAAGGAATGTGATCCAAGAGTGAGAGGCAGGAAATGGGGATTTCAGTTCTGCAGCTCTCCTGGAAATAATATGTACTGTTTGGTTTTCTTTTCAAGCCCAACACAACCAGCCACTTGCAGCGGCCGTGGTCCCATCAGCTCTTTTTCTTTGCACAAACATTGTACAATAGAAGGGGAAACGTGTCTAAGCTCTGTTGATTAGAAGGAAAGCAGGATTACATGGGAAGCTCCTGTGATCTGCACTGCCAGGGCACACCTTCCCTCAGGACCCACTGCACCCTCTCTGATTGCTGTTATCTTTGGGAACACAAGGCGGTGGCACCTGCAAGGAAATCGCAGAGGGTGGTTCCTTCCACACCGCTGCCTGAGATGGGTTTAGTGTCCCAAAAAGCCCCTGGGGCTGCAATCGGCCACAGTCCCAGGGGCTTTGCCCTTTGCTGCATCCCCACTCCCAGTACAATGGGGGGGCTCCCACCGCTGAGGATTTGGGCATCCAGGGAACCAGGGCTGGGACAAGCATGAGGGTCTCACTGAGCAGTGTGAGTGGGAGCTGGTGTCCTGCTCCCACTGGCTCCCATGCAGGGTGGGCAGGAGGAGCACAGCACAAGCAAGTTGCCTTCTGGAAAACTAGTGCGTATTTGCTTTAAAAACCCCACTTCTTGAAGCATTTTAATTAAAACAATACTGATTTTAACTGAAATCCAAGTCAAAGCAATGTTTTTATTCAGAAGAACTGAGGCAAATGCTGCTTTGGAGGTGTCTCCACGGTGACTCTGAGACTGTTTAACAAGTGTACTCCAGAGGTGACCTCTTTTTGCTCCCACAAAGACGCCAGCGTCTGGGTTGGAAAGACACACAGGTACACCTGCCACTTAAATGCACATCAGCCGATGCCTGCCAGTAGAAATTCATGGCGTGGGATCAGGGATGGAAAAAGAGGAACAGCAATGGCCCTGTGCTGCTGCAGATGCCTGAGCTGGAGCAGGAACACCACAAACTGCTCGAGATCCTGTCCATGTCCCCCTCCCTGTCTGCCCTGCACAGAAACTCCCTCTCAGGCGTAATTCATCAAATATTATTTTAAGCATTAATTTACTTTCAGCACCAAATGTGAAAATGGTTGCGAAGGAGAACAGTTTTCTCTGTGAGTGCCTCTTTGGAGCTGCCCATGACAGGTACACCAACCTCTCCTCCTTGTTTTAAAGATCAAATTAAGGACCTGAGGCTGAAATCCCAAAAAATACAGTCCCTTACTCAGGTAAAATTTGCTCTTTTTTTTTTTTAATATAAGGACAAAAGAGCAACTTGGTGCAATTTGTAAAGAAACAGGCTGAGTGGGGATGCCAGGGCACCCCTCAGCTGGATGGGAACCACCTGCTTTGCCCCAAAAGGCAGCAGCAATGTGTTGGCAGGGGGGTTGCAGGGAATAGGGAGAAAGAAGAGCTCTCCAGGGAGCTATGTGTCCCCTCCCAGCCTTACTTGGTGAAGGAGCTGCAGAGGAGCCCGATGAAGGCGATGGCAGCTCCCATGGCTGCCGTGGTCCTGCAGCCGAGCCGGTCGGTGAAGATGCTGACGATGGGAGAGCAGAAAAAAATCATGCCCATGGCCAAGGAGCCAACCCATGCTGGGGAGAGAGAGAAGAGAGGTCATGGTCAGGGTGGGACATCGAACGGGGGCAGGGGGACACAGAGGCTGACTCCAGCCTTGGCGGCAGAGAGGCAGCCCCATCACACTGTTAATTAACAGTGCAGCTCATCAACAGCACAGGCACCACTTGTGCTGTCCAACGGCATCGTGGATGGGGCAGCATTGGAGGTGTGGACAAACTGTCCTTGTATTCCTCTCCACTGGGTTTATATGTGCCCCAGGGAATGCACTGAGCTTCCAACACTTTTTCCTAACAACCTTTGCTGCGCGTGTGATGATGCCCCCACTGGTGCCACTTCCATCAGGACATCTCCAGGCCAAAAGCTCCCCAAGCTCTTCAGATCCCTCCTCTGCTCCCCAACTTTGTCTAGGAAGAGTTTCCCATCCTGAGTTACAGCTCTGCATTCCCAGGTACCACACTCATCCATCCGTGCTCCCTGCTCTCCAGAGTCAGGAGTCCTCACCTCCCCCTTGCCCCAAAGTCAGAGATGAGTCCTTGCTGCAGCTGAGCCGATGGAGACATATGGTGATGCCAGGTTAGATTACACCCCTGGCCCTGTCAGGTGATGCCCAAGCAGGACTATCCCCTCCTGTCTCCTTCCAGCCACCTCCGGAGAAAACCACTGTCTGTGTGTCTATCTTTTCCCGGAAACTTTTATTATTCATGGGTTATTTCAGCCCATTGTGGAATCATGGAATTGTTACATTTGGAAAAGCCCTTGAAGATCCTTGAGTCCACCCATTCCCCCAGTATTGCCAAACCCAGCACTAAGCCATATCCCCAAGTGCCACACCTGCGTGGTTTTTAAATGCCCCCAGGGACAATGATTCCATCAGTGCCCTGGGCAGCTGTGCCAGGGCTTGACCATCTTTCAGGGAAGAAGTTTTTCCTAATCTCCAGTCTAAACCTCTCCTAGCACAGCTTGAGGCCACTTCCTATCGTTCATCGTTTTCCCCCTGCCCTCCACCTTCTCTTTTTAATGGTTTATGTGACTGTTTTGGGGAGGAAAGGCAACATTTCAAGGAAAGCAATGTGGTAAGAAAAAAAATTTAAATTCTACCAGGTCTGATGAGAAGGGATCTCCTGGCTGGTGTGTGGGGCAGGGCAGAATGGACAGGTAGACAAGGGGCCTCCAGCCCTACTCAGCACCCAAGTGGGGCGACCTCCTGGAGCCCCTCCCAGCTCCAGGTGCTGGCTCTGGGCTGTCAAGCACAGCCCTGGGACATGTGTTCCTTGATTTTTTTATACCATTTTCAGGGCAGTTTTTTTTTAACCCAAACAAGGGCTCTGCAAACCTTTTCAGCACAGCCCCGCACAAAAACACCCTGTCCTTCCAGAGCCGTGAGATCTTCAGAAAATAGCCAGGTCCCTATTAAAAGCAAATCCCAGCTATAGAGCAGCCTCTTCAACCTCTGTCTTTCAAAAAGGACCACACAAAGAAGCCCTCCCCAGCCTGGGAAGAGCTGACCCTTCCAAATTAATTATAAGTTCACAAGGACCCAATTTACTTCAAAATCTTCTTTAATAAATGCAGAGTGGAGCAATAAAATGAAAAGCAAGGGCTGTGCGGGAACCTCGTGGGACCAGCCAGGCTCTTGTCTCGACACCAGGCGAAAAGAAGGGCAAGGGCAAGGGAGAGAACCCCCCTCTCTGACTGATTTTCTTGGTTATAAACACAAGGCACAGTGTAATGAAAGTCCTTCTAACAGGATTAGGTGGCACGAATCCAAAGAGCCGTCCAAAACAACTCCAAGAGGGGGTGAGGGGTGGGAGCAATGCCAAGATGGGAAAGGCTCGTTAAATTGGATAATATACTTCCAGAAATGTTCCTTCTACTCCAGCCAAGGCAGTAAAACGTTAGATGGCCCTGTCATGTTTGAAGTTTGTTATTTTTGGAAATTACTTTAAGAAACGCGGAAATAAAAGCATAAAGCAAAGTATTAAATTTAAAGGGCCAGATTCTGATCTTAATAACATGGGGATTTACATGCAAATAAGCAGGATCAATCTCTGGCCCTAAAAATGCACACTCACCTGCAGAGATCAAAGCAAACCTGGGGCGGGAGGCTCAGCAATGGGCGCTTCAAAGCTCCTCCAGCTTTGGGATATCACTCAATTAAAATCGGTAAACACACCAAAAAAAAGAGTCCTGTGGCAAATTGCTCTACCTTAGAGAAAGGGCTTACCACAAGCAATGAATAAAAATAGGCTTGGGGAAGAACACCAAGTTAAAATTAGTAAGAACAATAGCCTCACTTCCAGAGCGGGGTTTTGTCTTCCCAGCGCTTCCCAGCGAAGCCCCGGGAAGCCGGGAGGGCTGGGCGAGCTCCAGCGCTGGAAGGAAACCTCGGCAAAATCTGGGAGATCAGGAGAAAGCCATCTCATTCCCGCCTCTGATCCTGGTGTGATTCACACCAAAACACCCCCTGAGAGTGGGTTACACAACTTTCCCCCCTGCTTTATTCCCACTGTGATATCAGTGATCTCCATCCATCTGGATCTGGGTGAGGTTGGAGGAAAGTGATGGCAGAAAACCACGGGTTGGGAAACTAGCAGAGTTCAGGTGAAGCATAGCCCCAGACCTGCCCCTTTGGACATGGAGCCATAGTCCCTGGATCCACTCCAGGGCAAGGAGGTTTATTTCTGGCAATCTGTGTAAGTGGTATTGAAGTTTCTCCTGGATGTGAAGGGCAGAGGCAGCCATTCCTCCAGTGGAAAGCAGACGGGGCTTAACCACCTTTATTTCAGCAACTCCTCCAACGCTGGAGAAGTTATGACTTGATTTAAAGCCCACAGGAGAAAAAGGGAGGAATCTTTGCTTCTGATTTCCACGGGGATTTGGATGAGATGGTTAATTCCCAGCCCTGCCACACCTCCAACCCTCTGTGGCTGATAACCTGGGCGAGATATCGAAGCACAGACAAGCCCCCACAGGAGCCACACAGCCTTATCAAGCAGCAAGGTGCAATCAGGCAGATCCTAAAAGAAAGGATGGACCAAATCCAGCTGAGGATGGAGATGGAAGGAGCTCAAGAGCTGCCAGAACTTTGACAGGAATCGGGTTAAGACTTGATTGTCTTTCAAGATGCCCTGAGTCCAACCACCTCCTGGGAGCACCAGCTGAAGGGGCTGTTTTTGGAGCTGCCCAGCTGGGTGCTGGGAGAAAAACAGTCTGGTAACACCCAAGAAACTTTCTCTCTAAGGGATGCCTTGACAGAAACACAAAATTCTTCAGAAACTACATTTTTAGCTTAAGAAAAAAAAAAAAAAAGGCATTTTAAGCACTCTGCTTTTGGTGAGGGAGAAATGGAGATGACTTCTGATTTGGGGGCTGAAGGTACAAGAGGTGACTCAAGGCTCACTGTCCCTCCTTGATAGTCCATCCCACCCTGCTCCCAACACAGCCCCTCCTGGAGGCAATGGAACAGCAGCTGGGACCCCCCTGGTACATAACCCCCACTCCTCACTGCTCCTTGAGGGGCTGGGGGACAGCAACAGCCCCGGCTGCCACCCCAGACCAGGCCACCCACAGCCCTGCCTTCCTCCAGAGCTGATGGGACCTTCCTGGTGGTCCTGGGATGCTCTGGGGTATGGGAAGAGCCCAGCATGGGGCTGGTGCTGCTTTGCTGGAGCAGAGAGGGTGACCAAAGAGAGCATTCCACCAGCAGCTCTCACACAGGGGAAAGCTCCAGTTGAAGCTCCACAGATTGCTCCTTCCCACCTTGGCTTTAACAAAGGCAGACAAACTGGCAGCCTGTGGCTGGTCCAAAGCAAAGTGGCCTTCACCGTGGACAAGGAACACAGTGGTTGAAGATCGCCAAGGGGGAAAGTGATTCAGTGGTGCAGGAAAACACAGAATCAGAATGGTTTGGGTTAGAAGGCACCTTAAAGATCATTTAATTCCAAACCCCCTGCTATGGGCAGGAACACCTCCAACAAGACCAGGTTGCTCCAAGCCCCATCCAGCTTGGTCTTGAACATTTCCAGCTGTTCTGAGTAACATGGCCAAGATGATCCATCCTCCCCAACACTGCTCACTCTGGGCTCAAGACAGGGTGAAAGCTGGGGAGGTGACCCACTTGCCCACCAGCCCATTTGCCCACCAACCCAACACCACCAAGCTGTGCCCACAGTGGAGGAGCTCTGGGACCAGGCTTTGGCCACCAGGTCTCCTCCTGCCGGCAGGTGACAAGGCTACTGGGGTCCCTGTGGCAGAGGAAAACTGGCACGTGGGGGTCAGGGGGCTCAGCCCCCCTGCAATGGGGTTGGGGATGCCTGTGAGGGCTGTGAGCACCATGTCTGTGTGTTCATGGCAGCAAGAGGTGGGCAGGGCCCCCAGGGTCAGTCCAGGTGGGTCCCACACGCTGGACACCAGGTCAGCTTTCTTTTCAGCCAGACCGTTCAAAAGGATGGAAAGCTCCTTCATTGCCGGCACTTTCCTGAGCAGAAAAAAGTTTCTGGGAGCAGAACAAGGTGGGAACAGGAAGGTGAGAAACAACAGAAGAAAATATCACCACTGAGACACAGATCCAAACCCTGACGGTATCGAGTTCATTGTTCCAAAAAACACCATTAAAAAATCATACTGTGTGGAACTTGTGGCCAAGCCTATTTGTTCCTTTAAAACTGAATCTCCAGGGAGACAGAAGGAAGGGACGTCTCTCTCAGCTGTGCTTTCCCGCTGACCCAAATACCCTGGGCTGGAGGGATCAAGGGCCAGGAGGTGACCTCAGATCCGCCGCTGGAGGAAGTGTCTTCCCTCGCTTCCCGCGGCTTCTCCCACTCACACCACGCAGCTGGGACAGGGACACGATGCACAGGGTCACCTTCCCCAGCACCTGGCACTTCTCTGAGGTGATTCACCTCCTCCTCCCCACCTGCACCGCTCCTACAAGAAATAAATGACTTTTGGACTTGTTCCAGAGACAGGGAAGCTCTGCTGGTGTGACAAACCTCGTCACATACCTTCAAAGTCC